TTCGTCATATCCGTATTCTAAATTTTTTCTTTACTTATTAAAAATTATGCAGATGTATATATGTACATTTGACAATATTCATTTTTACTTTATTAATGTATTCTTTGCTTTATAGATTTTTAAATAATGGAAAAGGCAAATAAAGAGAAAATAGGTACAGTTTTCTTTACATCTCCGTTCTTGTTAAATTTTTACATAAATTTCATCTAAACTATATACATAAATCAAAAGCACTACAAACACTTCGTTAAAAATATTAGTGTACCTACTTTAATTAATTGATTGACTAATAACTAACAATACATCAAATTAATTTCATTTAAACAGTATCAATCTCAATTTCTTAATCATAAAAATATAGAATATATATATATACATATATATATACATACATATACATACGTTATCAATAATTGAAAGTATAAAATTAAAAATAAAAAAAAGGATATTATTTATACATAGGTGGTGGTATTGGTACATGCACATTATCCAACAATAAACTGTTTTCTGTTGGCTGTGTGCATTCAATGTGCAAAAAAGGCAAACTAGATATTTCAAAAATTGTTATTTTTTTACAATGTCGTATGTCTAGATATTGAAGACTTTTACAATTGTCTCGTATATATTCTAAGCTTTCATTTGTTAATTGTGTACAACCCTGTTAATAAAAAAAAATCATAGATGTTAAAAATCTTTAAAAAGTAAAAAATTAGAATAAATGTAATATATTAAATAGTATTTAATTTAATTTTTAGTTATATAAAATGAAATAATTTAAATCTTTTAATAATGAGTATACCTGGAGGTAGAGACGCTTTAATCTATGTAAATACATAGTAAGATATGAGACACCCAAATCTGATATATTGTAACATAGTGTTAAATCCAACTCTTCTATAGCAGGATTATTTTTTGCTACATATTCTAATCCCACATGTGTTATCTGAAAAATAATTGAAACATAACGGTCTGTAAAAGTATATCTTTTAAGCTTTTTATCATACAATTATACATATCTAGTCTTTCTATCTATAATATACATAACATCAATCTAGAATTGAGACTGTAAATAACAGCACACATTTAAAGAAATAAGTTATAGTATTTTACCTGGCAACATTTCCTTAAACTCAATACTCTCAATTCTATAAAAGCAAAATGATGTTTTAAACTAACATCAGTTATTCTAGTGCAACCCGAGAAATCTAACTCTCTAAGACCTTTTAGACGCGTCAAACTAAATGCAGGCATCGTTAAAGGTGACAAAGTTGAAATATTCTTCAATAAATTCTTAATATAAGATGTTCTATTAGCATCGCATACTATTTCTTCTTCTGCTCTGGAGCGTAAACTGATTCGTAATAATGATTCAGATGGCTTTTCGATAACATTAACTTGTAGAGATTGTATATCTATGTTATTGCTAGTATCAATACCCATCAAACCAGCATCTGTTATTCTGTCACAATGAGTAACTTTTAATGTTCGTAAAAATATAAGTTTTTCAAATATGTTCTGGAAAATATAAACATACATATTCTACTAATATAAGTAACTATAAAAAATAAATAATCATGATTCTAATTGAAATAAAAATAGTTAATATGATAGATTCAGTACCTGTATTGTAATATCTGTAATAGCTATAAAACAGTAGCCTACATTGAGATATCTTAAATTTGGAAAACATTTAACTATAGATGTAATACATGATTCATCAAGATTCAAAGCATTTACAGAGAGCTTCCACATTCGATCATTTCGAATGTCATTATTTGTTATTGAACAGTCTGCCTCTTGCTTGTTTAAATCGATATTTTCTGCTTCTATATCCATTTCATTGTCAGTAAATTGTAAATTATTTAGTGATTCATTACAAAGCCCATCAGTAATACATTTGGAGGTAAGTTGTTCGCATTCTGAAATATCTAATTCTCTTAGATTTCTTAATGACTGTATTTGTCGTATACCGCTATCTGTGACTGCCCTGCATCTTCTTATATTTAAACTTTCTAATTGTTTCAAATGTTTACATATAAGAACTAAACTAACATCTGTAATTCGTGTACAAAAACTAATGTCTAATAATTTTAAGTTAATTTGATGATATGTCAATGTTCTAATTCCAATGATAGTTAATTGATTACATCGTTGCAGCTTTAATGTTTCTAATCTAAGGTTCTCCAATTTTGAAAGAGTTGCTAAAGCAGTTCCATCTATAAGCGTATGACTAAAGTCTAAATGTTTCAATTGTTTTGCAGAAGAAGTAATATACTGCAAAATATTAAAAAATGTTAATACTGATTCCGAGGCATAAACAATCACATTAATGTTAGGATAAAATTTTTTAAACAAGCCACAATGAAAAGATATTTCGCATCCTTTTAGACTGAGCGTATTTACATTTGGACATATCGAAATAAATTGATTAAATAAAGCGTCTGTTAAATATCGATTATAAGTAAGACTAAGTTCGTGTAGAAATTTCAATTTTTCCAAGAGTTCTTTTATATCACTGTCATCATCTAAAAGTCTGCCAGACATAAAACATTCTCGACAAGAACTGATGTGTAACGTTCTTAAATTGTTGCAATGTTTCAGAATCCCAATGAGTGTTCTTTCACTCAAATCACAACAAAACTGCAAACAATATTATTTCATTATCACTCAAATTTCTAAGTACAATTAATTAGGAATGTATATATATTTTAAATAGATCATTGTAATATTGAGTCTTTAATAACTGATTTAATATACCAGATGAAGAATTTTTATAAAAGATCCATATTGTCTCCAAAGAGACATCGTACTTTTCAATTCCACTTCTTTAAAAATGAAATTATAAACTGGTCGAGAAGAATTTTCTAGTATATCTAATACGTCATACAAATGATCTATTCGTGGTGGACCAAAAATCATTAATTCTTGATCTATAAATTCAGTAGCAAGAGATGCATCGTGCCATGTCCGATTAACCAATCCAGCTGCCATTCTATCAGATATAGATAGATATGACATTATATGTATAATTACCTGTCGATAGGAAAAATGTCAAGAAATGTTAATATAAGGAATTTGCCTGAAAGAATTTTAAAATAATATTTCCAGCAACATATTTTATTATCACATATATCATTCATACTCATCGTATTAATGAACATTAACAATTACAATTAATTAACTAACTTTAACCAACTTACATCTAAAGGTAATCGTGATATATCAATGTTTATTGTGCTCTGGCTAGACATTGTTTCCATTGTTAACTTCAGTTATTGCATTGATTTCTTTATTATTTTTATGAAATAAATGCTATCGCATTATGTAATATTATATTAATTTTAAAAAATAACCATTATTAGACACGTTAATTTATGTTGTTACTTATTTTACAATGTAATATTCAATTATTGACAATTCATTAAAATATATTCATTATTTTTGTGGATAAAAAAACGAGCACTCACACATTCATATTCGTTTTTAATCTTTTAATTTAAATAATTAATGCGTTTATATAAAAAAATTGTGATTACATAAAGTAACGTAACATTGTGCGCACGATTCTTTGATAGTTTATTCAACTTTTTGACAGTTATTACTATTACTATAGTCTATAGATTACGTCTAGTCACCATGTTTGATATACGGTAACGTTAGGTAAATGTAAAATGGCGATGTATACATATGAAAATTGATATTTACGAAGTATTTTCTCAGCGTGTCATTATTATTTTTGTGATTTTCTTTAATTGTGCTTACTAAAAACTTCATTATGGAAAAGAATATTGAAAAAACTTTAGATGAAGTGTAAGTTATCAAGTATTACTTTATAATTATTAATTGTTTGTGCATTTTTGTGTGTACAGGTGTTTTGTTCTGATTTCTAACAAATAACATATAATATATATGTCTCAATTTATTAAATTATATTATCAGCTTTGTCTTATTTAAGGTATTCTTTCTCTACTATTTTCTAGAAAAAACAATGAAACTACAATTGGTTGTATTTTGGTTGATCGTGCAGGATTATGTTTAGGAGGTATGTTATCAAACAAATTATTCTGTTATAATAGCGTATTATTTTTAATGTATATACTAATAAAACATTTTTTTATATATATTTTTCAGTCAAAGGTAATGCCTCAAGTGATAGCGCTGGCATTATAGCAGCCATTGCGGATCAAGCTGCTAAATTAGAATTTTCTTCAACTTTTCCAATCGTCACTATCCAAAATGATAACAGGTAATGTTGATAATACGTTAGTTATGTATTTAGAAATTCCATGCATATTTTCGAAGTGTATATTAAATTGAAAATATATACTTTTAATTTATTATAGGAAATGTCTTATTCAACGACAAGGGCCAGTAGTTGGTGCAATATATAAACATGTCGCAAGTTAATATTATTCTCTTTGGCCTTGTTTTTAATTAAGATATCTTATAAAGTATGATATATTTTGTTATTTATTCTCATACACATAAGGAGGAAGATAATTTCGTGCCCAGTTATATCATAACAAACAGTATCATCGCTTTCCAAGTATAGGAAATAGAAATTATTATTATGATTTTGAAATATTATTGAATCGCACCACAATCTTATTTTTAAAGAAGGATGCAAATACTAATAAATTATTTACACTCTGGGAATTTAAGGTCAATCATTCTTTTTATATTTGTTCTTCCGTTCGTACCACTTGTTACCACCAAGTTTAATTAGTTCATAATGTTCATAAATCCATGCAATAAGAACCATTATAAATGCTATCAATCCAATTAACAAATGCAGCATTTTTTCATCAGGGAAGAAATAGACCTAAAAATACACACACAAATGCGTTATTAATTTGATTAGAATATATCTTAATTTTTATCTATGAGATTGGGAAATAATTTCTTTACATGTGATAAATTTGTGATAACTGCGGCTAATAATAATGTAATAGAGAACATTCGTTTTGGTACTAGTCCAAGTAAAGGATTTTGAATTGCACCAATATGACGTTTATTAATGAATACCATCGAATGCGCAATCCTTAAACTCATATTAAAACAATTTCCAAGTATAAAACCGACAGGTCCGAACCAAATAACAAATAAATAGGATGCACCCAGAAATGCTACTGATTCATAAATCATGATTAAATTGTTCTTATTTATAGTAGTACTGTCAGCCGTCGCATTGGTATAACATTCGGTTACACCATTAATACCAAGTAATAATATAGCCAGACAGTGTGCTCTCATTAAAAGAACTGGTAAATTTGATGTCAATTTTGCACCACCGTATAACCAAAGTAATGTACTTGAATAAGATTGTCCAAATACTAAAATTATTAAGCCAATAGCTGTAACGGATGAGCACAAATGCGTGAGGACGCTTATACTTTCTTGAATTTTTGTCTGCAAATTGTAATTCATTCTTTATTTTACAGTTCTGTTTATTTCTTATATAAATTTATTTTACAATTTTCTATATACTTACCGGATTTTGTTCCAACAAAGCTTTATCTCTTTTGACCATTTGCGTAAAGTAAAAATATCCGCTGTCTTCAATTGGACGAAAAATAAATCTTGCAGCTAAAGAACCCAAGTTATTGACGACTTCGTACGTGCCCTTACATATTCAAATAATAATTATGCAACCTATCATACTAAAATGTAATTTAAATAAAGAATATTTGTAAATGAAATACCTGTTCGGTAAACGAGAGTACTGGCATAACTGTCATGATTAATCTTTCGCCCTCTGTTAAAATTTGTTTTAAAATCCCTTGTCTAAAGAAACTCCATGTTAATATTGTTAATTTTTTATCTAAATATGAGTCCTGAAAATTTCTTATTTTTATTATAAAGAGGTAAAAAGAAAATCTTAAAAAAAATACATACACTATTTTCTAATTGACCTGGCAAAAAATCCTTTATTGTTCGAAATGGAAACTCTGTTGAGATATATTCATCATTTTTATCCTTTAAAGACATTCTTCTTTTTTGTTTGCACTTAGTTATATTATTAATATAATAATGAAAATATGAATAATAACTAGTTGTATAAAATATTGCTGCAACTAATTGTGCTATGCCAAAAGCAAACAAAGCATTTTCTGGATAGTAAAGTATTAATGGTACAAACGTTAAAGTACGAATAGTAATCATGATTGTATCTAATACAACCTGAAAATAAAATTATATATATATATATATGTATGTCTATAATATAACACAAACTCAAATATAAAAATGTAAAGGCAAATTTGTTTACTTTAAGTTTTACAAAAAGGAATGCATTGGCAACTAATTGTACAATTAGAGATGATAATTCTATAATGCAAGATAATGCCACTGCCCATACTGCAAATGTATAGTAAGGAGGTAAAGTTTCAGAAGTTGATAAAAGAAAGAGCCAAATATATCCAAACAGAGAAGACATTACAATGCAAATGGGTACTCTGGAAAAATATAATTAATGCTTTTATCGATAGTCTTAAAAGAAAACAATATAATTAATTAATTTCTATTAGAGTTATGTTATAAGGAATACTAACGTCATCCATAGTAAATTTACAACTTGAGCCCAGTTATGCTCCGATGTATTAGTTAAACATGCTTTCATAAATGGTTCACGGGATAAGAATAATATCATGGATTCTAAAAGTAGTAATCTAACATTGATGACACCCAAAATTGCTTGGCCAACATGACGTACCACAAAAGCATTTAGAACAAATGTAACACAGCGACATATTATCTGTAAGAATTTTGATCTACGTATGAAAAGGATATACCGGTATAATGTAAATTTTGAGTAAAAATAAAAAGTCCTTTTAAGAGAACAAATATTAATAGATTATAATACCTGAAATATGATGTTGAAGGAAGCATTTTCTAAACTGCTTTTTAAGATAGATTGCGACATATTTATATTTAATTAGAAACATTCAACATTTCGAGATTCCCGCCATAAGCATTGATGTTGACAATATATTACGTTAAATTTGTAGAATATCTAAAACATAAGCGAAATCGTATTTCCATGACAATTCGTTTTACATCATTTCTTTGACATAAGAAATAAGTAAATACTACTGACATGATAACCAAAAATTTCAACGATTATACTTGCATCTAATAAATTTCATGATGCAATTGTTAAATTTCCCTATGTCCTAATTTAATCTAGTAATTTTCCATCCAATATACACACGGTGTGGTTAAAATATCTTTATAAATATTATAAATCTTCATAATCTATCATATATTAAATAACTGACACAAACTTAATGTAACTCTGTAGTGAAATTTGAAGGTTAGATTGCAGAAACTCAATTGTCAATATATATGAGCACAAAAAAGTTGGCATAGAACCGCAACAGCAGAAAAAAATGAATAAGTGCTCTTAATTCTTCACTAATTGCTCAACCAAAATTCATATATGATTGATTACTTTATTAATTAATTATTTAATTAGTTATTAATAATTGAAAAATCGAAAACGTTTTATCTCATTTCTAAGCAAAGMAATGAAGTTTTCTATTGTTTTTTGTTTTCAATCAATTGCTCACTTTTTGTTTGTCCCGCTCCTCAACTTTATTTCATTAAATATTTTTTATTTATCGTTAATTAGATGAAAATAATTATTACACTTTGAATAATTATGAAATGGTGACGTCAAGAGCGGGAGATATGTTATACGCATGCACATCAACAAATTCAAGGTGCAAGCGCACTTTGAAAAAAAATTAAAGTAAAGTTGGTATACATGCAGGGTATATATTTAAAAGTGATTTCCAAAGTAACAACAACGGAGCTATAAATATTTTCATTTTTACATTTTTTTCTGCTGTTGCGATTCTATGCCAACTCTTTTGTGGTGAAGTATATAGAAACTCACAAGTCCCCATTTTTATTTACCCAGCATCATTTTTGTTACCACTGGGACCACCATTGGACGATATACTATCAAAGAATAGTGTATTTATATTCATATTCTTTGATAGTATATGATATATTCTCTCTCTTTGATAGTATAAATAATATAGTTCTATTGTAATAAAATTTTAAATAAATAGATTTAATTTTTAATGTATAAACATGTGTGTATGCCTTCAGAAATGCATTTATATGTATATTTTAAAATGAAGCAATTTAAGACACTCAAATAAAAAAAAATAGTGATTATAATTATTACTTATATATACTTCAATGTTTTTTATTATTATAAACTATATTAGTCATATAGTCAAAAGTGATCTTAAGACTATTTTTTACTCCTACATAAAAATATTAAACAAATAAAAACACCGTTTACATTAATAATGTATCTAAGCTTAATTCATGATTGATTTTTATGAATAAGATCTCATTTAACAGAATAAATAAAAATCTAATTGAAATTCATTAATCAAAAAAATTTAAACTTTAAATTAATTAATAATACAAAAAAAAAAAGAATTATGTCGTTAAAAATTATTTAAATTTGATAACAAAAAGAAATATTTCCAGTGTGTTTCTTTAAGAAATTATTTTTTATACAATTTTATTTACTGAAGTATAATTAGTAATATGTAATACACAAGTAGTATAATATATATTTAAATATAATTAAMAAACAAAAGAGAAAATATTTTTTGGAAACACACTGAAATATACAGCCATTAGCCCGGTAGTACTTGCGTTACATAATTTGCAATTAAATTTGAATAAATCGCAAGTAATACCGACCCAGGTCTCACCACTAGGAGGTTGCTGTTTTCGGAGACCCACGGGCTAAGACTCTACTTCTAATATTTATTTTTCTAAAAAATTCATTTTTTTCATTAATCATTTATTATAAAACAATATTTTCAAAAAATGCAACGCGTAAAACGAGTCATACATTTTTCTTCCAACTTATTATTCAAGTTGAATGAAAAATAATGAACATTGTTTTAAATCAATCCTACCTACCCGATTTACAATCCTAAATTAACGCAAACATGCAAATATGCAAACGCTTTGACGTAGATTCGATTGAAATTTTAAATACAAAATGCAAGTTTTTTTTATTCAACAAACGCAAGAATGTAGACCGTTTTAAATTACATTCGACCAAAACTTATAATGTAACAACACGCAAATTGTTACAATAGGAACGCACGCAATTTTATGTGCACTTACGTGCATTGAATAATATTTTAATAATAATAAGAATTCGTAATGAGATATCAAAAATATACATCATATTATTGAATAGAGAAATAATTTAACAAATTCTTGTTGCATTACTCATTTTATTATCATACTTATCGATAACCAATTTTATTATCTTATCATCTAATATATAATTCTATCTATTTATATACGACTAATCCTCTTCAGATGCTATTAACAATATTGCTATCTGTGAACAGAAACAATCTAAAAAAAGGATTTATAATTAAACAAGAATCGATGAAAATCAAAAGCCACCAGTGAAAATGTCCTGACAATAAATGCATAATTGTTATACTAAATCAAATACCAAAAATTTGTTCACACACACACACACATACATTCATACATTCATACATTTAGACAGAAAAACCAACACCACGACTACTACGAGAACACAAACTAGAAACAGTGGAATAGAATCTTGCCAATATCGATGAACCTAAAACAAAAATTAATTTTATATTACTACGTATAACTTATACGTAATTTTTATTAATTTGCATTACAACCTTGGAATACTATTGCAGACATTGTTGTAAATATCCATTGATATAATGGTATTTTGCGATATGAAACTTTAAAGCTTGAAAATACTGTGCTTTCTATAACAACAAACTAGATAAAAAGGGCATGTGTGGGAAAATGAAATTCGATGTATGATCCACGATCAAAACTTTTCAATTGGATTATTTAGTAAATAATGAAATTTAAAAAAAAAAACAATTTAAATGGCCAAAAAGTGGACATTACAAAATACCGAATTCTCGGTGCATTAGAAAATGTATTTTTCTATATTTAAACACAAGTGAATATGAAAAAATGCATGTCTCCGATGCATGCTTTTTTCAATATACAAATATATGAATAAAAAAATGTTTCTATTTCATGCAAAAATGATTAATTGATTAATACAATTACAAATACACATAGGAAATAATTCAAGACACATTATAAAAAACTTAATAAATTGTGAATATATCACAATATTTAAAAAATTAATTAACACCGCTTTCAAAATAAAAAAAATAAACAATATTGCACCTTGCGTCGTATTACAAAATGCATACGCAATTATGCATATCGCCATAACAATAACCATAACGAGATCAAATCTATGTTTGATCGATAGAATACATAAATCTTTTATTTAATTACATTTATATTATCGCGAAGTATGCAGTTACATCGAGTGTCCTGATGTACATATTACATCATTTTATATACAAGACACTTTTTTATTTCTACTAAACTATAAAAAAAAACAAAAAATAGTAATACAATTTCACAATTTTCAAAGCACATATTTTAAATAAATATGAATTGAAGTGTATCAATGCAATATAAAATCTTAAAAGAAGAAAAATTGAAATTCAATATACAAAAATATTAATTGAACAGTGATAAAAAATTGATAATTAATTAATTGCTAGTGCTTGCTTTAACAGATTCTAAGCTAATCAAGTCTTATAGATTGTTAACCGGAATAATATRAGTAATTTTGATTATTAATTAGGAGGATGATTGACTCTAATTGGACTAATTAGATTAGTCCAGATATTTAGAATAAAAAAAATATATAAAAAAATGCGAAGAAATATACACAAAGTGATAATGGATCTTCTGCGACCACGTAGGAGAGATATACTCTCGTGGAAGCAATGTTGATTAGGGTGAATATTAAAGATGAAGCGTATTACTAATCGTCGAAGAGTGCGATATTTGTTGTAATACGCAACTATGA